GAAAATTTAGCCCCTGTTTTTGTGGAGATTGAAATCAAATTTTTAGTAGATTTTGATAAAAGTTGATGAAACGTGTAGTTGCAAAGTTGTGGGTTCCATGAAATATGAGGTTAAAATTAATTGTTGATTTTGATTTTGATTAAAATTAAAATTTTAATCTCTACCAAACAGGGCTTAATCTCATTTTACATTTTATCTATTTTATGAAACTCGGTTAGAATTTTAATGATAAAAGTGTGTTCATGTGTGCCGCTAACGAGATATGCCCCTGTTTGGCACCCATTCTCTTTCTCATTCTTTTTTTTCATTTCAACCACACAATTTCCAAATAAAATAATATTACACACAAATTTAAAACTTTTCATCACTTTTCGACCACACATTCTCCCATCAATCACTATTCCAAAATTTTTTAACCCATTAAAATGGGTGTCAAACACTCCCTTAATTTCTGCATATGGTGCTTCGGTTTATGAATTGTCATGTTGGTAAAAATATGAAAGCTGATGTCAGATAAACTCATGATATTTCAGGGCAATGTGATATCNATATACAACAACTAAAAGGAATCTTTCCTAACAAACCAGCTATCTTACACGTGAAGAGAGAAAACAATAAACATGCAATGCTGTACAAAAAATAACTGCCCAACAAATCAGCTTCTTCTAGATTGTTCTTCTGCTCCATCCTTGTCATCGATTCCAGCTTGGTTGCCTTCTTGCTGACTGTGTAGATGATTCATCAGATTGGAATCTTGCATCTTCAATACTTTATGTAGTTAGGCTTTGCTCAAGATGTATGACAAGTAGGTTGAATAAATTTTAATTTTGATTCGGCTAATGCACCTAATTGTAGTTTGTTGATGAGGATATGATTATATTGCTCTGGTAAGGAAGGTAGTCACTGATTTATTTTTCAAACTCCAAATTATTTCAATTCTTGGTTGGATAATAAGGTCCTTGAATATATCTGCAAAAACTTCAAATTTTCTCACCTCTGTTTATTCCCGTTATCAACTTCTGGGACTTCTTTGAAGATGATACTGTGGCTTAATTTTTTGAAACCTCTTGCTTTGCATTTCATTCTTGAATGTGATGCTTTGCCAACCACAAACAAATTTCACTTGTTATAGATGTAATTAGTGTTTAAAGTTGTAGGTATTTCATTTGGATATGACGTAATACTGGATTTATGTGTGGATGCAGCTGCAGATGAAATGATACTATACTTGAAAAGTGAGAATGACAGGCTACGTGGTCAAGTTGATGAGTTAAAAAGTGAACTGGCTTTTATCAGGCATGCATTTCTGAGGACCACTTATTCTCTTATGCTATCCGAAGTATTGTAATCTTGCACAATTTTTTGCTGCAGATCTTCCAAGGACGAACAAGAAGTTCAGCACCAAAAGCTTTTGATGGAAGAAAACCAAAAGAGTAAGGAAATAAAATATAAATTGATATTGCTAGCATGGTGATTAACCAAATCAATGACAGTAATAGTATGACTTTAGATTTTTAATGCGTCCAACTTGTAAAGTCCATTAGTCAATTATTGTATCGTATGAACTTTGAGAAATAAAAAGAAAAGAATACGTTGCTTGATAATAAGTCAGGTTATATATTCCAAGTATTGTAATGCATGCTAGGCATGAAGAGAACCCCCAATCCCCACCAAAATAGAAAAAGAGAGGGAAAAAAAAAATTAAAAAATTAAGTACATGGATAGATCATAGATGACTAAATACATAAAATGTTCCTTGTATAGGACTCTGGACATGAAAGGATGAATTGAAAATGAAGTTGTAGTTAATTTGCTTTAGATGTCTCATATTCTGATAGTTGTTTTGCCTACACTATCACTATAACTTGAAGCATTTGAAGTTTCTATTTATTTATATTTTTTATGCTTTTTGACATGGTCTCCATAGTGGGCAAAAGTCCTAAGATTTCAATGCAGTTTTTAAGAAAATTTCATTTCTACTTGAACCGTGTCACATATGAGATTATGCTCTTGTTTGGTCCCCACTATTTTCAAAATACATTTTTCTCTTTCTTATTTTCAACCACACATTTTTCAATAAAATAATATTATGCGCAAATCCAAAACTTTTCCTTATTTTTTAACCATACATTCTCCATCAAATCACTATTCCAAAATGCATTTTGGCAAAAAAAAATGGGGCTCAAACACGCTCTATAGTGTTTTTATTGTTTAATTGCTAAGAAAAGCACTAGAATTTTTTTCACAGACATATCAAGCAAAAATAAATTTTTTCCTTGTTAGATGACTTAGATGTAAGAATTAAGGCTTTGTTGAGTTGTTTTTATTTATTTATTTATTTTATTCTTGTTTGAATCTGAACTGTTTTAGATATTTTGAATTAGGTTCAGGAGTGGGTTTTGCAATGCTTATCAAACTGTGGACAGGATACTGCCTTTCCAGAGTCAGACTAGAGAAAATATCTGACAGAATTTAGTTGACTGAGTCTGTTTTTTGACTACTAATTTGCATTATGTATAAACAAGCCTTGGTTTAGTATTCAGGTTGAACATTTATACTTTTTCTAGTGGTCCTGTTAAAAATGTTCTATCAATCACTCACGTCTTAGATATAAAATCTACTTCATTGTGAATTATTATGCTTCAAAATCATGGCAGATAAGGAACTCTCAGAAGAAATTGTGAAGCTAAAAAAGTTGGAACAAGAAGGTACCTGCCATTCTAGACAAGAGAAATTCGAAAGTAGACAGTCAAATACGCATACCAGTTCTCCAGATGAAGGAGTAGGATCTGGTCTCTCTGCCATGAAATCAAAGAAACGTAAATCATTACCTGCTATAGAAGGTACAGCTGTGCCACATATTGACATGGAACATGATAATGCAGCAGATAAATGTTCTGACAGGAATGAAGTTGGCGGTGCTCTCAATATTCAGCAGGTATCTAATTTTATATGCAGAGTAACAGATTACTCTTTGCTTTTCCATTTCTGACTGACTATTGTTATGCTATTATTCAGCCTGCATGCTGTCAAAGAAAGGCTGATACTTCAGGTATGTGTAAAAAGAAAGGAGAAACAAAATTTCGATATATTTTTTCATTGGGATAATGGCATGAGTTTGACCTAATGTGTTATGGGAATTTTATGTGGTGATGCAACAGAAACTGTGAACTGCATGTTTCAAGTTCTCATTGAGTTCGTAGTTGGCATGAAATTGTCCTTTGTAACTCAAAAAGATGAACTATGTATATCAGCACTTCATCAATCAAGTGGTAAGACAGTGATTTTTTGGTTTCTGAGATTCGTGGAGCATTTTCATTTCAAAACCCAATTTTCTTGTACATCTATGTAACATTGGGCTAATCATTCAGGTTCTTCAGGCTCAGATACCTGGTAGTTTCTTTAGTTTCTGATTTAGTTGAATTTGAACATATATTAGTTTGCATTCCTGGCATATTTCCAGCTGATCATCCTTTAGTGGACAACATTTAAACTCTTAAAAATAATGTGTAACTTTTCTTAAAGGATGCTCAAGGTTAGTGGGCTTTAGAAGTGGTTTTGAAAGCCAAAATAATCTTCTCAAGAACATTAATGTAAATCAGATGCAGCACACTTGGTAACAAAATCCGGGAATGGTGTTGCCTTGGCTAGCTTTAAATGTTTGTGTAGTGTCTTAAACTTTCAAAATTCAATGGAAATGCTTAGTTCTGTTATAGTAGCATGCCATCTTTAATGGGCGTGTAGCTTGATTACACCTATTTTCTTGTTGGTTCGTATATCAGTTAATTTTGTTAACTTATTCGTGTATGTTAATTCTCAATATTGGAGTGGTTGAGATGTTGCCCTTTCCATTCGACCTTTTAATATAATTTTTAATGTATTCCTATATGTTAATTCTTAATGTTGCAATGATTGAGATCTTGCCATTTCCATTTGATGTTAGATTATTTTACTTGATTGGTATCGATGTTTGCAGGTTATTCTTTCAGACTGACATGGACAAACAATTCATGTGGAGAAGGTGAATTAGTGTACCATTTGTCGTCCCTGGGCACATTTGAGAGAGTTGCCCCGGAGTGGATGAGGGAGACTATGATGTTCAGCACAAGCATGTGCCCTGTTTTTTTCGAGAGGGTCTCCCGTGTCATCAAGGGTTGATGATAAGACTGGTTTTTATCTCCTGACCATGTGTCATGTATTATTTTCTCCTTAAAAAGTTTGCAATAGTGATCGCAATGTCTTAGTTGAATCACCGTTCTTTATATACAGCAAAGTTGGGTGTCTTTTTCGCCGTTCTACAAAATGAGACTTCAGCTTTATGTTGTAATGTTGTCCACGAAGCTTATAACTGCTCTCTCTCCCCTGTCTATAAACTAGCATTGAATGACATCTTGAAAATAATATTTACCTTCTCTCTTTATATTGACGTTTAGCTGAAACAAACCCGTGTTGAAAGAATTGGATTAGTTAGGATAGAGGGATTGAGTCATTATTTGATGGTTCAATTTGGTTCTATGAATAATATAGTAGCAATTTTGGTGGTAGTGGGCCATGATGGTATCGACACTTGCATTATTGCTACTTATTTTGTTCTATGAATAATATAGTAGCAATTTTGGTTGTAGTGGGCCATGATGATATCGTCACTTGCATTATTGCTACTTGCATTATTGATCGACTTCAAAGAAAAGTTGAAAAAACAATCATGCATGCATTTTTACATCAAACTAGTGCATAATTAGCAATATGCATTCATGATAAAAGTTAAGACGAGACTCGAATATATCTTTCTTAAAAAGAAATTTGAACCTTTTAGGAATTCATTGCGAGTATATGGAAAACCAATAAAACTCAAGTTTAATTGTGTTGTAATATAAAATATAGAATGATGTTTGAAGTACTAAGAAAAATTTCACGGGATACTTACAGGCAAGACACAAGTAGGGCTCACATGATTTTTTTTCTTTTTTTAAACATAGGTGGGGCTCACGCTACAATGAGAACCCTGTAAAATACCTGTGAAATATAGCCCGGCACTTGGAGCAAAATTCTAAAATATATGATCTCCACACAATAATTAATTGTAGTATCCATTAACACATTACGATATCAAGATTTCTGTTCTCATTCACGAATCACAATAATTTGCTACGATTTTTATTTCGGATAAATAGTTTTTTATAATTCAAACAATTCATTTTTTGATTAATAAAATTAACTTTATATTTTTCTTTATAAATATAAATTTAACATTATTAAACAAAGAGTGGGTGCGTAGTAAAAATGAGAAAGTGTCGCTTTAGTGTCAGATTGTGGCGCATGGAGAGGGAGAGAGAGAGAGAGAGAGAGAGAGAGAGCATTTGGTTTTGATTTGGGATTATTTGTATCTCTTTACATTTTCATTCTACATACAAAAAACATCTGTCGTGAATCTCGGGGTGAAGAAAACTCCAAGTAAGTCCATCTTTTATTTTCCCTGTTTTTTATATGCTATTCTTTACTAATTTCTTGATTTTGTACTGGAAAATGGATATATTTACGATTGTGCATGTAAGAATGAGTATTCAACTTGAGTTTATCTGATTTCATTTTTACAATTTTAGCAGCAGAGCTATAGGTTTTCATTGAACATGCAAGAATAGTTACTGAGATTGAACTAAAATCGGAAAAGATTTTCATTTTCATTTTTTATTTGATAAGTTAATCGATTATCAGATTGTGGCGTCTGGGCTCAAAATACTGTTCAATGCCTGATACTCTTAGCGTTATTGGAGCATTTCAGTTGCAAAATAGGATTATTTGTTTCCTTCCACCGATAGAAGAAATTATCTGATCACAGTTTGGCGGTTGCTATCATCCCTGTAGGGGGGAATAGTTCCAAATGTCAAGATTAGAATGTGTAAACAAGGCCATTTTTTCAGTTCCATTGGGTAGCTACAAGTCTACAACCTTTCGTTTTAAAAAATCAGTGCGGAATGAGGGCATTGTCCCCAAGCCTAATAGCTATATATATCAAGTTTGTAAATTATATTGTTATTTGTCTGAATCTATAACTTTTAGTTGGTGATATTCATTTTTGTAGTGTCTCCGCAAAAGTGGGAGCTCTGGTTTTCAAATGAAGATATCCAGATTGACATTCTATCTCGATTATCTGCCATGATACTGAACCGAATGAAATGTGTTTCCAAGGAATGGAAATATCTCATCTCGGATCGTTCTTTCATCCGCTTTCAGGTTAAAAATACAGAAACAGTAAAGGGGTTCTTCTTCCAGGAGAGCCAATGGAGCGATAATAATATTGGATTTATCAACTACATTCCAGTGGAAGGAGAAGGTGAAAAGGTATGGCGGACAGTTTTGAACTTTCTTCCTGAAAAGGTGGTCATTCTCTCTTCAATCAACGGCCTCTTGTGTTGTCGTAGTTGTTTCTCTTCTTTAGACCCAAGGATATATGTATGCAACCCATTGAACAAGCAATGGATAACTCTGCAGTGGCCTCATCTTTTTAAAAGCAGCAGTAGCCTAGCCTTGGCTTTTGATCCTCTCCAGAATCCAATTGATGCTTCCACAGATTTCAAATTGGTCTTGGTTAGTGATACTATGACCAGTGGAGGGGATTACCATCTCTCATTTGATATATATTCTACAGAAACTGGGAAATGGAGAAGATCAAATGAGTTTTGTCAATGCAAACATAAACTAACAAAAAATAAAGGCATTTTTGTTGAGGGAAGATTGTATTGGCTTACTGATGGTTACCAGATTCTCATGTTCCATCCCCAAGTCGAGCTCTCTTGGTTAATTATGGCACCGCTACCTGCCACGTACTTTAGAAATATTCCCGAAATGTGTATAGGGGAATCCGAAGGCAGGCTGTGCTACGTGATAATCTCCGAGGACGGACTTCAGTTGTGGGTTCTCGAGGATTACTTTGCGTCCCAGTGGGCATTAAATACTTGTATAACTCTGAAAGAATTAGAGAAAGAAAATTCAAGTGTTCTATCCAATATGTCCAAGAAAATGGCAAGTTCGATAAATAGAGGCACGCTTCCTCGTTGGATAGATCCATTGGCTTTTAAAGATGGGATGCTGTTTGTGAGGGTAGCCACAAGTATATATTTGTTTCAGTTTGAGACCAAGAAGATGAAAAAGCTAACCGAGATTTCCATGTTGGGCCTAAATCCTATGGATTCTCCCACTGTGATTCCATACACCATGAGCTTGGTTCCGCTTGGCTAAGCACACGAGACAACTATTTACACAATAGTTGTGTTCCTCTGTTTGGGAATTTATTTGGATCTTGTTGATTTTGTGACATGTAGGTTCTTGAAAGAGTTTATGTTGTGGATTTTGTTGCATGTCAAGTATCTGTCTTTAGTAATGCTAGTTGATTTCTAACTAGTTCGGTATGAAGTTGTTTTGATTCATATCGTGTTAATTCGCAAAGCATCAACTTTTCAACCATGCAGATGAAAAAGAAACCATATGCTAGCACACTGAACTTAAAGACATCAAACTTGAGCAAAGGTAGAGAAATCCATGCAAAACTCATCATTAAAACATCCAGTTTTGTGTTATATTCTGTGTACGGTCTCCAGCAGTTCAACTAAATGCCTAAGAAGATCGTCCAATCTTGCAGGCTTTTGCAAAAGGGTTTCCAACCGAATCATGTTCTCTATTTTCCATCATGTATGGAAGAGTAATTAGGCATAGCATAACGAGAACAGCTTTGTAAGTGAAATCCACACATGAATTTAAGCTTATTTCAAGCCGATCGATGGCTATTAGGCTTGGATTTCAGTACAATGCATGTTCCTCATTTTTTTGGAGTCATCGAAGACCATGGATCATCATCATCTGTTACTTTTCCTTTACATTTTGAAATAGTGATTAGCAATGTCTTAGCTGATTGCAATTCGTTCTTTTATGTTGTCAAAGGAAGCTTGTAACTGATTTCCCTTGGCCTTTAAACCGGGCATCGGATGGCTTTCTCTTGAAAATGAAATTTAGTTAATGTTGAAGTGTGATGTATATGGAAGTTATAAATTGAATGAAGGGAGTCTAGCGATTATATAGAAACTCAATAACGTGATTAGTAAGCCAATTTGCATGATAGATACATAATAAAGGCAAGGAGAAAGTCGTACAATGGTCCGATGGAATTTGTTCGATGTCTCTGAGTTGTAAAAAAGGGAATTGATTATGTAGAAGTCCTATTTTAACCTAATATGGAATTAGATATCCAGTAACCTCTTGTACCTCTTTCTATCTAACATACTCCCTTTCTCACGAAGCAATTATCCACTTGTGTGTGTTTAGCATTTAACATCTTTCATCTATGTTCTTAACAACCATTGGAAATGACAAGATTGGCGACCGAAGGGTGGGGAGAGAGATAAGAACATGTAAAATTTGGCTTCGAACAAAAACAAAAGACAACCAAGACTTTTCGAAGTACGTTCAGGCTCGAGCTCGGGCCTTTTTTAATAGGTGTTTTATGAGTGGAAGGCTTGGCTATGCAGGTGGTTTTTTTCTCACCTTGTTAGGTGTTTGCCACTCCTCGACGGCTTCCTCACCTAGATTTGAGGTTTCCTCCTTTGATCTTATTGAATGATATGAGATTTTTATATAAAAAAAAATATATAATCATATATATTCAGACACGTAATGAGTACATGCACATTTTTCAAATAATGTTATTTGTATAAAGTAGAGATCATCTTTAAGTGATGTGAAGTGAAATAATAAGATTAATTAAAAGTGTGATATGTGATTCATTTTATTGATCTTATCATTTAATGTCACATCACATGAAAATCATTCTCACTTTAATCAAACAACATTACTGATATAGTTAATAGAATGGAGCAAAAAAATTCGAAAATATTATGNATACCAAAAAGAACACATTTTCAACAATTTCAAAATAGACGCTCAAAACACAAAATACAAAACGATTTCAAAACTCAAAACAGAAAACTGAAACACAAAGAGAACGGCCCCTTAGGTTCTTAAAGAACCGTACAATTAGTCAATGACTATAAATTTTGACTTACAAATGAATTGTTGTAAAAATGTTTAGAATTAGCATTAGAATCACGTTAAAGGCTTTCTCAGACAGTTTTTCACATTCATACAGACGTTCCTCTCTCTCAACTCAAGAAGTTTCACACAGCAGCAACTTCACCTCAAACAATTCTGGTTTACAGTCAATCCGTGAATGCAACTTCAATATTGTTTTCAAACCAAAATGCGACTAGCCAATTCAACCCAGCAGATTACAGTTACACATATGATATGCAGGTGAAAAAGAAACCAACAACTATGCTAGCACACTGAGCTTAAAGACATCAAACTTGAGCAGAGGTAGAGAAATCAATGCAAAACTCATCATTAAAACATCTGGTTTTGTGTTATATTCTGTGTATGGTCTCCAGCTGTTCAACTAGCCTAAGAAGAACGTCGTATCTTACAGGCTTTGTGCAAAAGAGTTTTCAATCGAAGCATGCTCTCTATTTCCATAATGTGTATAGAAGAATAATTAGGCCTAGCCTAACGAGTACAGCTTTGTGAGTGCAATCCACTCATGAATTTAAGCTTGTTTCAAGCCTATCAATGGTTATTAGGCTTGGATTTCAGTACAATGCATGTTCCTCATTTTTTTGGAGTCAACTAAGACCATGTATCATCATCATCATCTATTATGTAGGAACTCAGTAACGTGTTAGTATGTCAATGGGCATGATATATGCATAATAAAGACGAGGAGAAAGCCGTACAACACTACAACAGTCTTGGGGAATTTATTCAATGTCTCTTAGTTGTAGAAATGATCGAGCTCTTGTTTGTTTCCCATTTTCTCTCCATTTTTAGAAAAATACTACCGCTGCAGTGCCCCACTTTGTCGGAATTGTTGACTTCGATCTCACATTATTCTTGAAATTAGTGCTCCAACGATCACAAAATTCATTTTCTACCGCTATAAAATGAGTAGAAAACATATGCTGATTATGAAAAAATCCCTATTTTAACATACTATACGGAATTAGATATTCAGTAACCTTTAGTAGCTCTTTCTTTCTAACACACTCCCTTTCTCATGAAGCAGTCATCGACTTGTTTGTGTTAAGCATATAACATCCTTCCTCTATGATCTTGACAACCTATGGAAATGGCAAGATTGGCGACCAAGGGATGGTAAGAAAAAAACAAGAACTCATAAAAATAGACTTTGAAACAGCAAAAGACAACCAAGATTTGTAAGGTGCGTTCAAGCTCGAGCCCAGGCCCAGGCCTTTTTTTAATAGATGTTTTATGAATGTGGAAGGCTCGGCTCTGCGGGTGGTTTTTTTCTCATCTTGGTATGTGCTTGCCACCCCTTATGGCTTCCTCACCTAGAGTTGAGGTTTCCTCCTTCGATCTTCTCGAAAAATTTGAGACTTTTGTCCAAAAAATTATAATCACACACACGTAATGAGTACATATATATTTTCGAATAATGTTATTTGTGTAAAGTGGAGATCATCCTCAAGTGATGCGAGATGAAATGATAAGATCAATTAAAATTGTGATATGTGATTCATTTTATTAGTCTTATCATTTAACATCACGTTAAATAAAAATCATCCTCCCTCTAATCAAATAACATTAATGGTATAGTTAGTGGAATAGTGCAAAGAATTCAAAAATATTATGATAGCATACAGATTATTTTTTAGTGGTGATAGACCCTCTCATTAAATTATTTGGGTATAGTAAATATGAAAAAGTACCATAAAATTTATAATTTTGTTAAATCTGACAAATTACATTCTTAATGAATTGTACAATTACTATAAATTACTGACTTACAAATAAATTGTTGTAAAAATGTTTAGAATTAACATCAGAATCACGTTAAATGCCTTGTCAGACAATTTTTCACATTCATACAGATGTTCCTTTCTCAACTCAAGAAATTTCACACAAGAGCACCTTCACCTCAATTAACTCTGCTTTACAGTCAATCCGTGAATGCAACTTCAATATTATCTTCAAAGCAAAATGCAACTAGCGAATTCAACCCAGCAGATTACAGTTACACATATGCAGATGAAAAAGAAACCAAGAATTATGCTAGCGAGCTGAGCAACTGCGTTAAGGCATCAAACTTAGGCAGGGCTAGAGCAATCCACGCAAGACTCGTTAAAACTTCATGGTTTGTTTTAGATTCTTTGTATCTTCACAACCATTTAATAAATGCGTATGTGAAATGCGGTGACACTACGAATGGTCTCCAATTGTTCAACGAAATGCCCAAGAAGAACGTCGTATCTTGGACTGCCCTCATTGCAGGCTTTGTGCAAAAGGGTTTTCCAATTGAAGCATTTTCTCTATTTTCCCAAATGCATAGGAGTGGAATTAGGCCAAATGAGTTCAGTTTTGTGAGTGCACTCCACACATGCTCATTTTCGGAAAACTTAAGCTTATTACACGCCTATCAAGTTTATGCGATGATTATTAGACTTGGATTTGAGAATAATGTATTCTTAGTGAATGCATTTTTGACTGGTTTAATAAGTCATGGTATGCTAGAAGAAGCTATGGAGGTGTTTGAAGGATGTTTTCAGAGAGACATTGTGTCTTGGAATGCTATATTCGGTGGTTGCTTGAAGTTTTCTTGTGAAGATATTCCAGGGTTTTGGTGTAGGATGATTATTGAAGGAGTGGTGCCAGATGAGTTTACTTACTCTACTGTGCTTACCGGGATGGCTGAGCTTTCAAATCTTGTAATCGGATTGCAAGTTCATGCACGACTTGCAAAGTCTGGTCATGGAAGTGATATGTGTGTGGGGAACTCATTGGTGGATATGTACTTGAAAAGTCGGAGGATGTGTGATGGTTTGAAAGCCTTTGAGGAGATTACTGTGAAGGATGTGTGCTCCTGGAGTCAGATGGCAGCTGGATGTTTGAATTGTGGGGAGCCCCTTGAGGTGCTTAGGGTGATTGGGAAGATGAGAAGGGATGGTGTGAAGCCTAATAGGTTTACTCTTGCAACGTGGCTTAATGCATGTGCCAATTTGGCTTCTTTGGAGGAAGGGCAGAAAGTTCACACCTTGAGAATTAAACTTGGGGATGATGCTGATGTATGCGTGGATAATGCATTGCTTGACATGTACGCAAAATGTGGATACATGCATGGTGCATCAAAGGTTTTCCAATCAATGAATGATTGCTCTGTTGTTTCTTGGACAACAATGATAATGGGGTATGCACAGAATGGCCATGCCAAAGAAGCTCTTGTGATCTTCGAAGAGATGAGGCAGGAAGGAGTGAATCCTAATTATATTACTCTCATATGTGTGTTGTATGCATGTAGCCAAGGAGGGTTTATTGACAAAGGTTTGGAGTATTTCTCTTCTATGAGCCAAGAGTATGGCATTGCTCCTGGAGAAGATCATTATGCTTGTATGGTGAATCTCCTAGGCAGGGCAGGCCGTATCAAAGAAGCTGAGGAATTAATCCTAGAAATGCCATGCGAACCTGGTGTTGTTATTTGGCAAACCTTGCTTGGTGCTTGTCGGCTTCATGGGGATATGGATACAGCAAAACGTGCTGCAGAGCATGCATTAGCACTTGACAAAAATGATTCTTCAACTTATGTGTTGTTGTCCAATACATTTGCTGGTTTTGGCAATTGGAACAGTTCAGAGATTTTGGGACAAGTAAGAAAGATGAGGGATGTGAAGAAGAAACCTGGGTCGAGCTGGCTTGAATTGAACAGAGCTCATTCACTACCTATTGCCTGGGGTAGATGACATGGGAGGTTCGTGCATATAATCAACAAACCTTTCTTTGACGTATCAGTTTGGTGGAAATTTTGTGGGTATGTCTTCAATATCGTGGAGAAGTTAAAGCTTCATGCACGAGTATCAAGATTCGAAGTAAAGGATTTTTAGAGTCGAGTATGGATACTTATTATTATATATTCAGGATGTACATCTTGGTGTGGTGTCATTAACTCAATTGCTAGTCACTTCGAAAATGAGTTGTTGCAGATCGTGACACCTCTCCTCGATCATGGAGGATCGGTCTCTACATGGCGTTATGACTAAGGTAATGACATCACTTCGGCTACCTTGATTTGATGGCCTTGGGTAGGTCAGGTAGGCAGGTGACATGGAATGCGGGCTCAGATGGCTGCCACGTGGCCAGGAATTAGAGTCTTGTAGGATGAGGCGTAACATGTAACTTTTACTAATTTTCTTGATTTCTTTTGGGACCCATAAAAAAATTGTTACGACGTATTTGTTGTACAGATTCTGAAATGACCAAACGATGCTTGTCATTTTGATACTCTTACTATTAAGTTTGTTATTTATTTTGTTATTAATCTGAATCCAAAACTTTTTAGTTGGTTGAGGCAAATGAGGGAGGGACCTCTGCTTTGCACACCAAGATATCCAGGTTCTCGATTACCAAATCCTCTTGTTATCTTACGGCACTGCTTCCTGCCATGCATTTTAGAAGGATCGCCAGAATGTGTATAGAGAATTACTTGGGGCATGTTTGGGAGTGCTTTCATCAATTTTCAGCAATTAATTGACCCTTTTTTTTACTGCAGAATGGAGCCCACTTTGGCAGCAAAACATGACATTGTAAAAATGAACTACCGAAAAGGCCCATATATCATGCAAAATGAATTAAATATTAAGGGCAAAATGTCATTCTGTCATAAAATGGTCCAATATTGCGGCTGCCATGTCAGTCTTCATTGGAAAATGGTGAAAAGCAACGGTCCAAATTTTACTTGGCAACGACTGATATTGCAATTTTAAGTGCAACCAGTCACGCACTTATTACTCTTTGAGGACAGAGTTCAATTGTGGGTTGGCAAGTTCTATCTTTGAAAGCAAAAGATGGATATATCCGAGAAGTGTGGCGTGCCAATGGTCATGGAACTTGCCATTTCCTGAATATATGGGATAGGAAACTTGGAGTTTTTTTTATCTAATTCTTTTAGGGTGTGTTTGATTGTAAGGGTGGAAAATGGGTGGAAAGAAAATGTTTTACAGGGAAAAGATTTGCCTAGAAAATGTTTTGTAGGGAAAATGATTTCAAGTGTGTTTGATTGGTATAATTTTCCACCCGGAAAATTTTTAAATTTTCTATTCGTTTGGCTTTGTTTTACATGGAAATTGTCCATTAAAGTGATATTTTTTTCCACAACTGGTCATTTCATTTGGCTTTGTTTTACATAGAAATTGTCTATTAAAGTGATATTTTTTTCCACAATTGATTATAAAATTTGTTTCCAATGCCAAAAAGTAAAAAAAAAATCAATTTTTTCATCAAAATTTAGTGTTCGTTTGTCTTTATTTTACATGAAAATTGTCCATTAAAGTGAATTTTTTTTTTTACAATTGATTATAATATTTGTTTCCATTACCAAAAAAAAAAGGGAAGCAGCAGATGGAAATCATTTTCCCACCATTTTGGTGGGAAAGTGATTTTCCCAAAAACAAGGAATTGCAGCGCATGAACTTCATGCCAAGAAAACATTTGCCCTAGAAAATGTTGCTCATCAAATAGGTCAATTCCAAAAAGAGGAATTCATTTTCCCACTTCCAAGGAAAATTAGGCTATTCAAACAGGCTCTTAGAGTTATACAAGTTGTCGATTCGATATAAAGTAGACCTACAATTGAGGTCCATCCTTAGAGATTATTAAGTGTATGGAATTAACATCACCGAGGAGCAGCTATCGTGGTGTATTTTACCAAGTGGACGAAAATGAAACCAAAAACCATGCTAAGCAAATGCGTCGAGACATCAAAGTTAGGCGGAGCTAGAGCAATCGAGAATGGTTAAGAACTGTTAGTATCAAGATTTAACCCCGGCAAATGGCAATTTGTGCACCTGCTATGAACCCAGAGCATAATTCTTTCCCAAACAAGTAAACTACAAGGGTCATGTCGTAAGATCACACGAGCTCGTAGTAAGCAAGAGAACCGGGAAGAGCCCCCGTTCCCTAAAAATAGAGTAAATTAGACCTGTCTCTATATCCAATCCAAACACATACCCTCAATATTGTTGTTTCCTCAGCATGAATTTGACTTCGCCAGTCGTCTGCACAAAACTCCTTAATAAAATAAATTAGAAATGGACTCAAAGCTCAATCAAACATAATCTAACTCATTGAAGGGTAAATGATAACAAAAATTAACTGTTCAACAGCCATTTGTGCAGTATAAGAAGGAAAAAAAACAATATCTTGGTTGACAAAATACAATCCCAATTTTGTCCACAAGGTCCTACAGTAACATTGAAATTTGAAACTACTGGTGGCACGGCTGGAGTGCTAGAAACAATGGGAATAACCCAACTAGTTGTGCTAAAGTAATAACTGCCTAATATAAAAAATAAAAAAATGTGCTGAAATAAAGAAAATTGGATCTCCTGCCTCCTTCAACTGATTATTAACCTCGGTTTGATATCATTTACAGTTAAAAATAGGAAGGATACAACTGCAACTTTCTATAGATTAGAACTAGAATGTGGTGGTAATTAGTTTTTGACAAGGTTAAGGGTTCACGAGGGAGTTTCAACATTGCCTTCATAGAATTTCCACAAACCGTCATCTTGCCTCTTCAAATAATATTGAATTCTGTACGTGCTGCAATTACAAGGCAGGAATTGTTAGAAAAAATCTAAAACAAAATATAAACAGACAAATAGGTCACATCATATTTTTCATAACACAGCCATTATTCATGATAATTATGCTACTAAAGCTCAAAATATGAAGGTTAGAACCCTTCCGTTTTGTTGGTAATGCAAAGCAGCAAAGACACATATATTCACAAGTCTAGATATATGTTTAAGCATGAAAACAATTGACATTTGGACAGCAAAACTGGCCAGGCACCAACAATTTCTATGCTCCAAATCATTAATTCATTTCACCACTCAAGGGTAAGCGATCAACATAATTATTTCACTCATCTTTAAAATTCTATAATCCTATGATTCAAAAATTAAACCTCAACCAATTTTACTAAAGGGTTCAACTGTTTATAGACAATTAGAATTGCTTAGAAAAAGAAATCCCGCAGTTTTCATTCAGTTCATTTTTCCTGAACTGTGAAGTCTTAGGCCCTTTTTGATCCACTCGAACTTTCCATGGAAAATGGAAAAGAAATTCCAACTACCACATTTTGATACACTTTTTTTCTTGGCAATTCATTTTCTTGGTTTTGGCTCACATGCATCCAATTCCTTGTTTTTTGTGAAAATGAATTCCCACCAATTTGGTGGGGTTTGGTTTTCCAGGTTTTATTTTTTAATTTTTGGCAATGAAAACAAATTTTATGGACAATTGTAAAAAAAATTCTCTTTAATGGACAATTTCCATGGAAAACAAAGTTAGATGAATACCAAAAGATCCAAAATTTCAAAATTTTCCAAGTGTAATGGACACTTTTCATGAAAAATAAAGTCAAACAGACACCAAACTTTCAACATTCTTCAAGTTAAAAATTATATCATTCAAACACAATTAATTGACAATTCCCATGAAAAAAAAGCAATTCAATTCCCTGTAATGCATTTTCTTTCCACCCAAATTCTACTCTTGCAATCAAACGGACCCTTAGCATTCTTAGATATGTTATTCTGTGTCTTAAAAATTGACATTGAAAGTAATATTTTCAGGTAAAAAAACCTATCAAGGCTACAAAACTTACTCTTTATTTGTTTGATTAGTACTCGTAACAAATAAATAGTTGATACAGTTAATATGTCCAGTGTTAATGATTACCTGTAGTAAGTTGGGTTCTTAGGCTGAGATTCATCCACAAGTTCAGCTGCTTCCTCCAAGAGAACCTCTATTTCAGCCATTTCATTCCCAATCCCATCTTTGAAAATGTCTGCTTGTAGAACTTTCAATTGCAGCAAAACAAATCTCCAAAAACATGATCTGGCTTTTGCTGCATCGGCTAAAGCTTGCCACTACAATATATACAAATGAGAAAATTATCAAGGTACTTAGCTGGAAAATAACTAGTTCGACTTTCAGTGTCTGATGGTATCATAAAAGTTTGAAGTCTTCAATCGAATTCGACTGGTGCAGATATAAGATTGACCAGAACATTCGGTATACGAGCACATCATTGTTAAAGTCATGTTGAAAATACACAGCTTCCTATACTAGTTTCAGATTGTACATCAGATAAACGACTTAAAATAAGGTAGTAGGGAGATGTCAACCACTGAAAGAACAGCGAATACGTAGTAATCAACATCTGTTAAAACTTACTATCACAAAGTTAAGATTTCATGACTGATAACAAACTTTATATGTAAGACTAAATTAAATTTAACACGTGTTTGCCCTCCATTTTTCAAAAAAACTCATTTTTTCAAAATTCATTTTCAACTACACATGCTTCCAAAAAATAATTTCACGAGTAAACCCAAATTTTCCTTATTTTTAAACCACACATTCTCCAAAAAATCACTATTCCAAACCACATTTTCTCCCAAAAATGGGGCTCAAATGTGGTAATTTTATGATTGAAGCACAAACATAACTCTACCACAACGCAAAAATGATGCTTCTCACCTGAGCAAGCATTGATCCATCAAGGACTTCAAAGAGGTCATCAACTTTATGGTCTGGCCCAAGTGCATCTGCTTTAGCAGCTTGCCATCGCTTAACAAGTGTCTCAGCTTCTTCCATAGGCATTGGTCGCCTAAATGCTGATGTCCTAGAGGATGACAGACCGGCAGCAAGGGAAGCAGTTTGCAAATCCGTAGCTTCTGGGTAGTCCCTAAGCTGCACTTTAAGCATTGAAAACAGCCTCCTAAACTTTCTGGCAATGCTATTTTCCTTAATTGCAGAATGCCTGTAACTTAAATCTCTAGAAGAATCAGCACTCCAGGTAGGGGAGCTAGCTTCGGTCCTTGGTTTGTATAGCCCCCACTTAGATCCATTTCCCATCTTCCTGAATTGCATGTTTGTTAGCTTGACTAGAGCAAATAAAATGCAACCTAATGAAGTAGCATATATTATCTTCCCAAACACTTCAGTACGGCCAAACCAAAATCTCCATACTTCACTACGCCGTGCACCTAAACTTCTTTTCAATTGTATTGATGGGGTGCTACCATTTCCAGCTTCAGACTTGACCTCTACCAAAGGGTTCTGTAGATTAGAAGGAGCAAGCTGCTTAGCAGCTAACCCAAGATGTCGTGAAGAGTCTGCACGTGAAACTGGTTCTTCATCTTTTCGATCTGATGCAAGAGCAGTAGCAAGCTGTCTGTGCATCATGTTAGACATAGCCTGAGGAGCTCTTTTATTTTGTCTGTGTCCTCTTTTTTCACCATTAAAGAAGTTGGCCTATGATCAAATTTAGGAGTTTAGCTTAGCTTTTATTTCAAATGTAAGTTATACATGTATATGATATCAGCATAAGCCTTTACCAAAGATGGGGAACAATCTTGGGTATCTGAAAACAAGCTAAGCACATCATCTTTCAGCCACATCTCCTATTAATCCAGAAAAAAAATGCAGTGAGAAAATATCAATTTTACAGAAAAACTATTAAGTTTAGAATAGAACTTCTGAAATGAGCACATACACATAGAGGTCCATTCAATTAGAACTGTGAGTGCACTGATTTTCAAATACAACACAACAAAACATGACATTTGGCTTAATATGGGAGTACCAAAAAAAATAAATAAATAAATAAATAAAAGCAAACCTTCAAATAAGATCAATTACAGCAATAATGTATCTTTTGCTGTGTCACTTGGTGACATCGACTATCAACATAAATTAAGAGATGTATAATATCCCGGATTTTAGCTAATGAGGTGTTTGACAGGGTATAAATGCTTGGAACTGAAAAAGAAAACCAAGATTCATCAATTAAGCTAGTTTGATGTTTATAATTACTACCACTTAAACAAAAAGTATTGTTGAAAATGATGGGCACTTTTGCAATCAAAAGTGCAGAACTTGCTAAATCGACATGCATTTGATTACTTTAATCACTTTTAAGATAGGATGCCTATAATGGATGTGATGCAAAATTTGACAGGAAAGAGGGAAGGTGATGCAATATCATAGGAGATAATTAGCATCAGAAGGGAAGAGAGAGGGAGACAAAGAATAAGAATGGGGAGACGGGGGAAGAATCTGGGAGGAGGAAAGTTTCAATATACTTTTTAATTTAATTCTCCATAATAATCTACACAAATTGAAGCCGTAGTTCCCCTTATACTATAAAGAACTAAACTGTAGGGGACTTCTAGGGTCTTAGTGAATGAGACTAAAGGGAAATTATTTCCAGAAGTGAAGTGAAGTGAAGAGATTGGAGGACATGAAGTACACATGTAAGCATTTACATCACTTGGACTCAATTCATATAGGGAGAGATCGAAATATTATGTCAATCAAAGGATTAAGGCTGGTAGTAGAAGAGTGATTCTGGAGTGTTGTGCAATCAACAAATTCCTACAAGATTAACAGGTAACATTACCTAGGTACTCTAGAATCATTTTCCTGTAGCCACTCATGATCAGTTAGAACTTATAACTAAATTCAACATTGTGCTTAAATAGCATTAACAAGTTTACGATGAAAATGTACACTATATGATAGTGTGGTGCAGCAATATAAACAGGGTTGCATACCAGAGACTTGTTGGCATTTGAAACTTCTCCAATTTCTTTAGTCTGCAATAAGTTTCTTGAAGAGGGATTTAAATTTTGTTCAAGCTGCCTGAGTCTTTCCACAGCCGTTGCTTCATCACCCTGAAAAGTGACACTTCAGAGTTCCTTAGCATTTAGAACAAAACGAGAAAATGCAATAAGAAAAGAGAGGTATACCTGACCAAGGAGGAACAAGCAGAAGGCTTCCTCGAATTTTAAATCAATGCCTTCTGATGCTACTAAACACTCGCAAATTGTTTTAGCTTTGTTAATCTGTATGAAAAAGGATGTCGTATTAACAATAAATTAAAATGGAAAAATCTTAGATCTTGTTCTGGTTTCTACATCCATGCATGGAAACACTCCTCTCTTTTGCTTCCCATCATGTTTTATTGGACGCTTACCTAGTTATAGAAGAAATTTGAGACAGATATCATGAACTATCATATCAGAACTAAGTTCATATTAGTAGCAGATCTATCTGCCCAAGACTCCAAGTTCAGCATTTAAACTTATAATCGAGAATTACCAAATCTCTTTGCTTGCTTGAAAAGCCAAGAGCAATATGAGCTATCAAAACTACGTAGAAACAATTGAAATTGACAACTCCTCTTTGATTCTGTGACTCAAGGGATTTTCTATTTTTCCTTGTAAGAGCTAATTTTTCCCAATGAATAAGTTCAACTATTTCCACAGCCATGAGCTTATTGAGTGCTTGATTTAAGAAGCATGGCCAGTCTTGAACATGGCATGAAGATTCAACATCCAGACCCTGTCTGAGCAATTCACGCAAAGCTGCAATAGCTCCTAATCTTCGTTCAGCATTTTCAGGCATACGAGGCATGCCCAAAAGCTCCAATGTGCATGCTGGAGCAAGCTCTTCCAAAGATTCTTCTATCTAAAGAAAATTAAAACGTTTTAATGAGACGCAATGATCATGGAAAATGAAGAGTTGGAGTACACAAGGCCAAAAACTAAGACATTATAATTGATAGATCAGATTCAATTGGAGAACAAAATCTCCAACATCTGGTTTATTCCTACCTCTTTTCATTCTTAGAACCATGGCTATAGCAAGGCACACGCCTTACATTTTTAACCAGAAGTGGAAGCCCAATGAGAGAAAAGAGCACATTCGTAAAATCAAGATTTACCTGAGACAACAGCGTCATCTTCTCAAGAGAAATTTTGCTCCTAAGAAGACACTGAGCACGGGCAAGAGCTTCAAACCCTTGGGAAATATTGTTCTTCATAAAACCAACTTTCGCAATTGCACACTTCAAGAAAGCACCTATAATAAGAAAAGGGAGCATAACAAAACTGCCAGGAAAAAGTGGTTGGCAACCTCTTCTTTTGTCTTACCTCTGCTAGGGCCATAGACAGAAGCAAATCATGAATAAACGGCTTTGAGAGTGGATGTTGCAGGGCTCTTCGTCCAATATCTAGCACAAGCTTCTCTTCTCCCACCTGTATTGAAAAAATTGACATCTTCAACATCCAAATTGCTGACAAGTTGTTCAATAAATGCATATTGCAATTAGATTTTGCATTAATCGTGGCAGAAGACGTATTTTTAGATTCAGACGCTAACAGAAGTACAGGCTTGTGTATTCGAGGAAGAAAACTAAAAGAAATATTCTATCTTAGAAATAAGATGAAAATCAGTATTGATAACAAGCTTAGGAAAGTTGAACGTGAATTTTTAATGCATGTATTGTAAGAAATTCACCAACAGAAAAACAGTGAAACAGAATGGTACCTCCTGCAGGAGGCAAAGAGCACCAGGCAACCAAGCCCATGGCATACGAAGAGAAGATTTAGGGGGCTGCTTTTCCTTCACATTTCCAGCATATTCGGGTTCAAAAAGAAGTTTATCTCGGACATCCATCAGAAGATTCTGCAGGGAACAGATCAATATTCAAGTTAAACACAGAGCACAACTTAACAAAATAATAAATAACCAAGCTTACAAACATAATAACTAAAAGAAATTAACCCCCATTATATGTATAAATATAATTATCTCAAGGCAAGTAAGCTGAATGCAGAATATTACCCCCTACCTGGCGAGAAATAACAACATCAGTAGTGTAGCCCTCTTCAATCTCCGCACTTTTCAAATGCATCACTGACTTAACAATTTCATCTTTTTCTGCTTCATCAGGAACACCAAGAATCTGCACGCATACATCATAAAGAGACCTATATTATGTAGGTGCATCCCACTTAGCACCGACTCTAAGATTGGTGAGATGCTGAAGAAAAATAAAATCAAGACAAGTGACACTTTTTAATATATGAGACGTGACGTCGATCTTCATCTAAAAGGTTCTTGGTATGGATTTAAGGAAAACCAGACCTGTAATAGGAGAATTCAAGGATATTTAAGTTTTGCGTGGGGCAAAAATAAATCCTCTTTAAGTTATTTGTATCTAAAACAGAAAGTGCGAATACGGCCGTTTAAAATTACGAAATTAATATTTGGAAATTGGAGATCAGTTAGACACAATTCCGGAGAAAGCACCCAGAGAGAGGCACGGGTAACATTATTTCCTACCAAAAGAACTGAAGCTCAGAGTTCATATGGGATCACAGATCGTTATTTGAATTAACTACTGATATTTTCATATCAAAGAATGGTTCTCTTCAGTTCATATGCCACCCTCCTCTAGAGAACAGAATAGGATTAACATTTTAGGAACTAAAAACTATGACTTAGAGTTCTTTATACACTTTCCGAAAATGCTTTGCACAATTAATTCATTATTTTCATTCACTAAATTTTTCTACACAGTCCAACTCACCGCGGAATTGTGAAATTGGCCGTGGGTCCAATTGACAACAGCATTTAATATCACAGCCAGTACACTCAAAAACATTTTTCAGATATTAATTTTCCAACCAAGGGGGAGACGATAACCTGGTAGCAAGTGACGGGGATTTCGATAAATGGAGTCGGAGAATAAGCATCGCCATTTTCTCTGTTCGTGTTCTCCGCAACTCGAACCTCCGTTGCAGCACATAACCTCCACGAGCGACAAACTGTAGAAACCCCAGCTCCATACCGATTGTCACAAAAATATTCACCACATTTCTTCTTGTTATTGACTCTTTTTGGACCTAAAACATCATTATTTTCGCTATAATAGTAAAACTTGTTGCTTATCTCACTGTGCAAGTAGAGATTATTTACACTAGCCACCAATGAGTGAATATTTGCCATGAAATTTCAGATTAGCCTCATTTCAACAATTTTTGGACAAAACTGGGTAAAACTGGCATTTGATTGATTTTTCTTGTTGTGAAGGGGATTCTGATCTGGGTTTGGGTTGGATTTCCTTTTGCTTTACACATTCAGTATTTGGAGAGTAGAATCTGTCGCACCCCCAACAATTTGCTTCTTTTATTGCTTTTTGTTCAAAAAGGAAAAAGACGACAATTGGTTTTTATTCAATCTTGCTACATGTATACCGAGTCTGATATTAGTATGAGATGACACTTTTTTTATGTATTGATTTTACAAATACTTTAAACAATCAACGACAAAAATTTCGAATTTCAATACATCAATAGCGTCAATCATAATATACACTTTGAAAGTATAACTAACATAATTGATATTCGTGATAGCAACATGATGGGATGGGATGGGTTAGCTATTCTCGTCCCTCCGCCGAGGATGGATCGAGGCTGCCATCTCCATTTGGTCATGATTAAAATATTTTCAGTTCCCGTCCTATTTAATTAATTGTTTATTTTTAATATTGTTTATAACTAATTTTTAAATAAAAAGATTCAAAATGATTTTGGAGAATTCGGAGCAAGGATCACGTTCTTCTTTCCCATTTCGCGAGACAACGCAAGTGAACCGGAAGTGAAGAAATTCGTCGTTCCTAAGGATTAACTTCAACCATTCGATTTTAGCTAGACAATATAAGCTCAAGTTTACATTAAAAAGTCACCTGTCTGCAGCATTGTTCATCGATTGAGTTAAACACTTTAATTTGCTTATTGAGTACCATTCTTGTCTATCTCGAAAAACCAAGATGATCCAGTCCAATGCTCATTTTAGCTATCATCCCTGATTTAACATTATCTTAACAACAACGTATAGTGAATCGGAAATGTACCACGTATTACAATAAGAGAACATCACTGGAGTATTCTCGGGCAATTTCAAAGAAAAATCGAAAAAAAAGGGTCAAAATTTGGTATAATCAAACACAAGCCATGTGTTCCCATCAAGTCTGAGGTACAAATAAAGTGATCTGAGATTCCAGTATGCATAGTTTTCATCTAAAGCTCGCACCGCAGTAGAATCAAACCAATGAATATATTAACTGGTGAACTTGATAACCCTTAAAAGCGAGCCTTTCGTTTGCGAGCAGTGTATTTAGTATCTGTAGGCACAGCATTTCCCTTTCTCCTCATCTGTTCCTTCTTCCTCAGAACCCATTCTCTTCCCTTCATCTTCTTATTTAATTTTTGCTTTTTCCTTGGTCTGTGTCTGTCTGATACACAAATCTGCAATACAGTAACGAAATTATGTGACAACCACACAGTAATTGAAAATTTGCAGTCATTTTCAACAAGGCAACAAGTGATAAGCAAAAGGCCTAAGGAAGTCGATTAATTTTTTTTGAATGAATTTGTAAATAATCAGTACTCACTGATTGATTATCTTCGTCTACACTGCTGTCTTCATCAGACCAGCTCTCACCATCTTCACCTTTTCCTCGTGGAGCTGCACTGCTTAGGGATGGTGGACCACAAGTGAGCACAAGGTATTCTTTTCTACTCTTTGTACTGTTTTAAGAAAGGGATACCTCCAATCAGTTTGACAAACAAATATCATTATCGAACATTCTTCTACAATCTTCTTTTAACAAAAATATGGAAGTAAATATCAAACCCACAATACACTGATGATGGAAGTGACCACCATATTGACAAGAAGACCAGCAGTGAATTCATTTGTACAAACAGGAGACTCATACCTCTTCTAAAACAACAAACAATACTTCTTTAAATAAAAAGTAATACAATTCGAAATGGCTAATCAAAAGTCTGTAGCCTCTACAAAGAGGCAGACCTAAAGTAATTTTAGAATTCTATCCCATGTATCAAACAATATTGGGTTGACAAGTTAGATTACCAGATAAAAGAAAGCTACAAAATAAATAGAATGCTCCAGCATATGCATTGGCACACCTGTGAGGATAGTCAACAACTACACCCCCAGAAAACCCAGCTCGCATAGCAAAACCCAGGATCAGCTCACGTTGAGCCAGGTTTTCAGGATATACTTGCAACACTGCCCTTGCTCCCCGTGCCAAACATCTGTATAATGACCCAAAGAAAGCCCTACAAACACAATCCAAATGTTAGAACACAACTGCAGAAGAGAAATTCCAGTTCCATCAAAATGACAGGTATCAATTCCATTAATAACATCAATATGCAAAATTGGGAAGGATAAGTAGAAACGACATACTTCAATCTTATACGTGGCTCATGAGAGGATTTGTCAGCGTTGCACAACCACTGCTCGAGAAAATGTAAAAAGAAACGAGCACAATGAGTTGTTTAAAATGTGTCAAGGTAGAAAATCATCGAGTGATGATCAAATTGGAAAGTCCTTTTTTGTACCCGGCTGTTTCAGTCTCATAAATTCTGTCTCCTTTCTTAGTTTGTCATATTAGGAATTAACTACATATGCTACTTATCAACAAATCATCTGTATGCGAAGAAATCAAACCTGAACAGCTGAAATACTTATGGCACCATCAATAACCCCAGGTCGAAGACCTAGGCCCTACAGTAATTCATCATACACGTGTTACTCTCCACTGACAACAATCAACAAGTCAAACAGAAAAGCTACAAAGTAGATAAAGCTTTGAAAAAGTAATTTTACGAAATGCAAAAATATTAGACATGAGAAATTAGATGCGTGCAGCTTCAGCAATCATAGTCAAGGTAATACTAAAATCATAATGCTAAACTTCTGGGGTTTAGTTTGAACTCAGAAACCAACCTGGCCCATGTCACTAAGTACAAGGTCACCCTCAACTTCACGCTCCAATGCAACATCTGGATTTGTTAGAAGATGTTAATGAGAAAATATAAACATAAAAAGAGAAGTAAATAGATATTTTAACTGGATTCAAACAAAAAAAAAATCCACATACCCAACATTGATTGTGATATATCTAAGCCAATCCATTGGTGTCCATTGTCTGTCAATGTCTCCCCGCTGAGTCCTGATCCGCAACCTAAAACATGCAATAATTATTTTAACCAGAAAATTAAGTAAAGACTGTTGTACAAAATGACCTCATAATTCAAGTGTGTGTTTTGGACGAAGATACATTTAAGTTAGCGACATGATGATGCGCGTACAAGTACCTCGAGGAATTAGAACCCCAGGAGTTGACCAAAAATCCATATGCCTAGGTGGCTTTTTGTTATTCAGAACCTCATAGCATGAGCCCAAGATTTGCGTAATCCTAGAAATTTTAATTTAAATCTTTCCATCTTTTAAGTTTTAACAACATAAGAAGAGAACTTATTCTATACCTCATACTTCTTTATTTTAAAAAGTAAAGTGCTTTCCCTTATCATCTAGGAGTGACTAAGAGATATGTATGTTCTTAAATCACATATCTTGCGTTCTCTTCAGGAAGGACATGAAACTAGATCCACAACTATCAACTCTTCAGCAAAACGCGCTTATTTTATTATGGGTTCAATATTTCATAACTCACAGGATTGAACATCCAATGAGAGAGATTTCAAATCAAAATATCGTTTTTTACTTAACTTTCTTCTCCAGACTCTTAAGCAACCAAATGCTGGTCAGTAATGAAAACTCTAAACTAAAGCTTCAACTTGATGACTTAAAGAAAAACCACATACATGACCATACCGAGTGGCTAACAGATTTAGATGCCACAATCGTTGGATGCATAAGAATTTTCTGTAACATCACCAATTATATTTCCAAGTCATCAAATTTATGAGGAAAAAGTTTTAATTTGTTCTTGTTGTATAAATTTAAACAATTAAACATTACAGTAAACTTCTGCAAATTAAAAATTAAAAGTCTTAAAAAATCCACGTCTAACAACAAAGGGGCACGTGGAATTACCAATATCAAGCAATATTTTGGGCACATCATCACTGGGCAATGCAAGAAGCTCCAGTGCTCTCTCTGAAAGTTTCGCCTTTTAGAACCCACCAAAAAATAGTTAATTACGTAGATATACACAGAATTTCACATGTGCGCACCTAATCATGTAAAATGGTTACCTGAATCTCAATTATACGAGAAGAGGAGGTATATTTACGAGCTTCACCGTCATTGTAGAATATCTCCGGCGGTGCCTGCAGCTCCGGCCTTGACGTCATCTTCCTGCGTCTTGATAGAATAATAAGTAAAAGAAAACCCTAGCAAAGCCTTAATGCCGCCATTAATTGAGGTTGGTTCAAGAAAAGCATCGGCCTCTCCCGTCTAGTATTAAGCCAAATTTGTCTTATTAGTCCCCAACCTATCTATTTACTAACAATTGAGTCCCATTCGATTTTTTTGGTAGTTAAGTCCTCATCCTATCATTTTCGATGCACATTGGTTAGTTAACAGAATCCAACCAAAGTGTCATCGAATACGTAGTGGCTCGAATGTCACGTTTGTTGAGGGATAAAATTGTGACTCTATTAGCTCTCTCATAAAATTTGAAAATTAAAAAAAAAAATAGATAATTGTACAAAAATCTATTAATCCCTTGTTTAGTAGAGATTAAAATTAGATTTTTAATAGATTTTGATAAAAATGGATAAAATATGTGGTTAAAAAGTTGTAATTCCTATGAAATATATGGTTAAAATTAATTATTGATTTTAATTTTAATTTTAATTTTAATTTTAATCAATTTTTTTAGTGATACCAAGTTATTTGCTTCAAATAGACATTTCCTCTCGATTTAAAAAAGGAGTACAAAGATTTCAAAATTTTGCTTTTCACAACAAAATTCTCCGTCAGTCAAAAGCAAATTCACGTTTTCCTATTTTGCCCATTTATATTTCTAACAATATTAAAACTATTATTCAACGATATTTAGCCCATGTGACAATCATTATTTAAAAAAATTCTTAAATTCATTTTCAATCACATTTTCACACTAAAATATTTTACACATAAACTCAGTCATTATTTGAACCCCATTTTAGGGAAATAATGTATTTTAGAATAGTAGATTGATGAGCCATAACATGGGACCTGACCGAATGACGTGGATTATTCAAAAAGAAATGAAAAATAAATTCACTCACATTTTGTCAACAATGTGGCCCCCACAATTTTCCTTAAAAAAAATGCACTTTCAAAAAATCCCAAAATCGGCCCAATTTGAATTTCAAACCCACCTAATCCCACCACCGACACTTCATAATCCCAAAATCATTTTTCTCCCCCAAGTTCATTTTTCTCCCCAAAATCTTGTGAAACCTCCAACACCGACACAAAATCATAGCATCCGATGTTAGCACCAAAATAAGGCAACTGTAAGCCGCTCCGCAGAATCACACTACCCAACCGACATAATCCCAAAAGCATTTGTTTTCCCCTACGTCTCGCAAGCTGTCCAGCGCCAACACCAAATCTGAAAGGTTTTCTGACGTCGAAACCAAAAAAGGGATCTCTATGTCGTTTCTGTTGCCGCACGAGAAGAACCGAGGCAAATGTTAGAGTAGCATTATTGTGTTTGATTGGCTTGTATATGTTCTACGTGTTGTATTTCTTTCTAATAATTTGTAGATTTTGGTTCATTCAGGCACTAAATTATTATTTAGGATGATGTGAGAGTGATGCCTTGTTCTAGATAAGAATCTGAAGTATTTTTTTTGTTCTGTACTTGTTTCTATCTCTTTTATTTGTTTCATTTTGAATTATGTGAGTTTGTTCTTTCAATTTTGCTATTTATCCATTTTGTATAATTTGATAAATCTAGAATAATACCTAATTATAAAACTTCTCTTTCAGTAGCTTTGATTGATTTGAGGAATATCTAGAAGTTTATATGTATTTTAGGAACCTATACTGCTAACTAAATCCAGTTGCTTTTCTGCTTTCTAATTTTTCTTACAAATTATATGTCTCTATCATCGCTAACCAACCTTCTTCAAATTCTTCAACAAATTGCGAATCATACACCAATCCGTGTATAGTAGAGAATATCGAAGTTTTATCAACGTGAAATCCAAACTTCTGAGGCAACTTTTTCAATATGTGTCACAAACACCACATATGCTGCGTATTGGGGAACACGATCTAAATTGTATTTTGCATTACCCTATCTTGATCAGAAATTATACCATTGGGAGCTTAGTTGTTTATGCATTGTAGCCATGTCCGAAAAAGTCACACAAATGTATCAGTGTCCTCATTTGATATAAGACCACATCCGAGGAGTGTCGACTGTCCATGATGATTCACTCCAACAAAATGGGCAAACGGCATATCATAATTGTTTGTTAGGTATGTGGTATCGAATGTGACAACATCGCCAAACTCTATATATGCCTATCTACTCCTATTATCTACCCAGAAAACATTTTTCAGACGTGACTCTTCATCCAAATCTATACTGAAGTAGAACCCATAGCACCGTGCTTGCATAGCCAAAAAAAATATGATTTTATTGCTACGGCGTTACCTTGTCCAAGTCTTAACCTCCTAACTTTTTCCACATAGTTTCAACAATCCTTCTCCACGCAGGTTATATTCTCATATCTACCTCTTTCGACAATTGCGGAGTTGTAACTTTTGTGAAGCGGTATTCCTGCAATGTCATTTACTTCAAGCCGTCGTTTCACCTGTGCACTTAATTCTTTGTTGTATCGATACAATCTGGATTTCGAAAGACTTGTTCTATGTTATGATCGAGGTGTACCGTGTTAATTTTCCAAATTCCACAAACATCCGAACACGCAGTCAATCTGGCTTTGCATCCACTTTGCATGGTAGTTGGCGGCTTCAAAGAAACACTTGTATTATTTACTTTTTTCCCTTCACGGCTACAAACAAATGTAACATATCGCAAAACTCCATCATCATCCTGTTTAGAATTTCTTTTTCAAACTGGAAAACCCAAGTTGTATGCATATCTTTTATAAAACTCGAAAACTTCATTTTCGGTTTTAAACTTCATGCCCACCTCAAGCACAATCGCACCATCCCCTCCTATTGGACCATCACCCAATACTTTCGTACTCTCGATAACATTCTCGTCATCTGAATCCACCAACATAAAGGCTTGAACATCATTCGGATTCTTTCCATGTAACATAAACCCAATTGAAACGTTATATATAGCCCTTTTCCAATGAACTATTTAAAAGACAATTGATGCAACAAATTCAATTATAGCATTATGAGTTCTTTTTCTAGAAGAGAAAAATTCCTCAAAAAATCTATTCTCCAGTACTAAATGAAGTTGGTGGAATTAATAGAGTCAAATTCCTCCAAAAATTAAAAAACAAAAATCATTCATGTTCAGTATGTTTGCTTCTACTTGCATATAATACGAAGTTCGACTAATTCAACCCACGAATGAAAATTAATTTAAAGTTTGACTCATTCAACCAAAGAATCAAAAGAAATTTTAGATTTTACCTTCTCCTGTCATCTTCAACCAAAATGCGACGGTGGCCAGAGGTCGAAGTGGAAGCGAAATTGGTGGTCGGAGATCGGGGTGGAAGCGAAATCGGTAAACAAACAATATATAGCTAAAATCGACAGCTACGCTTGTGACTGTGGAAATGGGAGTGAAAAAAGTGGGAAAAATGGGCGCTTATATGAGTTGGGAATGGACAAGGGTTTTCAGAAAATTGTGGGGGCCACATTGTTGACAAAATGGGAGTGAATTTATTTTTCATTTTTTTTTAATAATCCATGTCATTTGGTCAGGTCACATGTCAAGGCCCATGTTAGAGTAGAGTTATTGTTATATTTCTAACAATATTAAAACTATTATTCAACGATATTAGCAAATCATTATTAAAAAAAAATTCTTAAATTCATTTTCAATCACATTTTCACACTAAAATATTTTACACATAAACTCAGCCATTGTTTGAGCCTCATTTTAGGGAAATAATATATTTTAGAAAAGTAGATTGATGGATAACGTGCGGTTAAAAATTAAGGGAAAGTTTTGTATTTGTGTGCAATATTATTTTATTGAAAAATGTGTGGTTGGAAAATGAGTTTTGAAAAAAAAATTAATTTTTAGAAAAACAGGGCTTAAACGGCCTCTCAAAGTTTTTTCTTATTTTTTAACCACACATTTTTAAAAAAATCGCTTCCAAAACTTATTTTTCCCAAAAAAATCATTAAAATGGCTATCAAACATGGGTTTAATATCCTCGTTTCCCATTTTCTCTCATATGTTAAGATTTTTAACGTAAATGCAAGCATTTCTTTTATGTACAAAAATTATGGAAAATTCAGGGGTTTGTCACCTGAATCTATGCATAGCCACCAAGCCATACCCCCAAAATTCCTTCATTTGAAAGCTAGTTTGAGCCCCATTTTTCATATAAATGAATTTTGGAATAGTAGATTGATGTAGGATGTATGATTTAATAATAAGAAAATGTTTTGAACTTACGTATAATATTATTTTATTAAAAAAATATGTGATTGAAAAAGATGAAGAGAAAAATGAATTTTGAAAATAATGGAAACCAAACAAGGACTTAAAGTGCATCTCCAAAATGCTCCTTAAAAGTGGAATGCTCTTTATTTTAAAGAGTCAACACTAAAATTATATTCTAAGAGACTTTTCAAATCAACATTTTAAAGATAAAGAAACTACTGAAGTATTTAAAAAAATTTACTCTCTAAATTTTAAAATGTTTTCTTTACAAATTAAGAGTTTGTCGGAGATGCTCTAAATCATATAGTAAAGCGAAAATACATACAAAAAAAACTATTTACAAAAAATAGAACAGTTGCTTTATAAGGGAATTACACAGAAATCTACTTTTTAACTTTTTATTTCAATAATCAGGTATAAAGATTTATTTTTCAGAAATGAGGTGTACCTATCCCACGCTCCATTCCACCAACACCATACCATGTACCCTATAGCCCTATCTGTATCTACCCACGCCGCCCCACACCCATATTTGTATCTCATGTCTCTATTTTCTATCAATCAGTTGGCTACCATAACCCAACTCAGACATCATTGAAAATCAACCATCATTTTCCCCTTTTTAACCTATGGTAGATCAGCATACAATCGAATCCCAATCATAGGGAACAGAGAGCCCTAACTCAAGCCCCAGACAAAACCCCAATTGTGGTGATTGAGGTGGAAAATGCGTTGTAGTGCGATGTTGTATTA